TTATTGCTCCCTCTTGATACTTTTTGCCATTGCTTATATATATTCTCTCTTAGCTAACATACTCTTTACATTATCTTCTTATTCATGCAAGTGTGTATTACTTCCCTTCCAATGTTTTCCTCTTCCTTTGGGAGGCAGGTTCCTAAGAGTGTTTACACTTTTACCTTTATTAAAAAAATTAGTAAAACAATGGAAATTGGTAGAAGCCATGCTCTTTTGCAAACACATTTCCTGGAGGTAATAAAGATCAAACAAACCAACCATCATTTTCATTATTTTGCCCTCTTCCCATAGAAACATACAGAATGAAGCTACTTCCTGATTCTAGACTCTGACATGTAGGAAGGTTCACACATTAATGGATGGGATAGAAATCCCACCTTTGTTTTTATTGAAGATTATATTTGCAAAGAACTGTAAACATGGTAGGACTTGTCTGACCTAGTTTTCTACCTTGTTAGTTACCTCCTGGCTATCTCATCTGTGGTTCCACCTGCTGCTTCCCCATCTGCTAGACTTTCTTTAGCTCAGAGAAACCTTTCTGAATTACACAAGAAATATCAGGCAGGTTGTGAAAAGGGTTATGAATGTTTTTAAACAGATTATATTTTCAGTTAAGAAACAACCAATTGTGCATGTATGATGGTCCCACCCCTTCTTTACACTAAAGCATTTAGTAGTAAAAAACAGAGGCGAATCATGAAAATGCAGTCCAAGAACATGGCAGAAACATGGAGATATTTAAAGTTAAAATGTTCTGCTTTGCACTAGGGTAATTCAAGAGCAACTCCATTTAATAGTTATTTCTAACTTACAGCACTGCAAATAAGAGTTGCACTTGGCCATTTAAAATGTGATATAAATCTTGGGACAGATTCATATTATTAATTATATACTACATAATTATTAATTACATAGCATAGATAAAGACTGTTCCTGCCATGAGAGCTTGAAAATCCAAATAGAAAGAAAAGAAAATACTATCCCCACCTATTAGAGGAAAAAGTGTGGGTCAGAGGATGTTATGAGCATGTCTACACTGGCTCCACATGTCTGCCACCCAAAGTAAGCCCTGCCTCCCCGCTCCACACTTGAAAACACAGAAGGGCAGTAATGCTGCCCTCTGTCCGCTGCTCTGAGACACACCAAAGATCTCAGGAGCTGTGGAAGGGGTGAGGTGGGAGGAGGAAGGAGACAGTACATCCTTAGAGCATCTTCACTAATCACCACCACTCCTGGGTTTGGAACATGCAGAGGAGACAAGGACAGAGAGGACTTATTAGGCAGCAGCACTGACAGCACCAACAAGCCTATGTATACGTACCCTAAGTCAATAGTATAACTAGTGAGGGGTCAGAAGGGGACCGGCTCTGGGCACCAAATTCAAGGGAGTGCCCACTTTCCTGTAAGACTTTGCCAAGTCAGAAGCAAACCCCACTGCACCCAGCAGTAGAAGCTGAACTGGTGCAGCCCCCCTACTGCCCTTATGCTGTGATATTTGGGAGAAAGCTTTTCCCTTCTAGCACACAAATTAGCAGGAGGCAAAATGTCATTCTCCTCTCTATACTTTCTAGCTCTACTTATGAACCACAGTGCTTTGGAGAACATATTACAGAGATGAACACATGCTGCACTTTTCAGAAAAAGATCAGTATCTCTACTTTACAGATGGAGAAACTGAGGCACAGGGAAGTGACTTTCCCAGGGTCACCCAGCAAAGGCGTGGCAGAGCCAGTTCACTTGAATCCCAGGCCAGTGGTCTTTCCTCTGCCCTGTTACAGCATCTAGTTCCATGTAGACTTCTGAGGCAACGGCTTTGCCCTGCTAAACAGGCTCGACCTTTCACATAGCTTCTTGGTGCTTTATCTACATAAGACTTTTGGAATTACACTTTCGTATCACTGTCATTACAGTCTGTTAAATCTGGGATGAATTTGGCTCAGAGATTCCTTGTTATACTTAGGAGACTCCAACCTTTCCCCTCAGTTGTGTCAAAGACTGTATCCAGAAGCATAACTTACAGTAACATGTAGAGGAAAATGAAATATGGAAAAATGTCATTAAGCAAAGAATCTCAACTATGAAGAAAGTTATATGACCCAGTGAATTAAAAGAGTGCACCCTGAGATGTATTAAACATAAGCTTATCCCTGGGTCTCCAGATATAGTACATCACAATTTACCTTAACTTCTCATTAATGTGTAGAGGGAATAGCACACATCTCAGTACCTTGAGGGGGTCATTGATTATGTCAAAGTAATTCCATCACAAGCATGTACAGCAAATACTAACAACACTGTGATTTACAGTAATAAAAACATAATTATTCTAATAGGCCTAATTAGGAACAAATATAAGGCCAATTAAGCCTGTCAAGTTAGGAAAAAGCAACATTTAGTTTTCCCTGGAGAAATGCAAACACAGTAAGATGCATCAACTTTTTTTAATCTGGGGACAGACTGTTGCTTTTAGTACAGTTAATAAACACAAGATCAGATATTTAAACTGAGGGAAGGGGACAGCTTTTGATTTCTGTCGTCTCTAAAAGGCACATGTTGCATTGCTTTCTAGCAACTTAAGCAAACTCGCACAATCATATGGCTGTCTTTTAATATTCAAAGGCAGAGAGTTATCTAGGTTCTGTTAAAGTAATATTTGTTTAGAGTTGGCTTTGGGGTCTAACACAGTTCTGACATTTGCAGTCCACACATTTGCTTTCATTGCACTCCAGGAAATAAGACCAACTGGCATTTAGTTTACCTGAAAAAGACGGCTCAGCAGCTCCGGAAGAGTCTAATTAAAATGCAGCACGTTACTACAGCGCTGCATCACACTGTGTTGCCATAGTAACCAGGAAGTCCTGTAGACTTTTCAGGCCATTTGAGGGCATGTTTTTGAGAGGCACATGAATTAGATAGATCACCTATTGTATATTTAAAATGACTTCCAATCTATGAAAGCTTTGTTCATGTTGACCTAAAAATAAAAAAATTAACTCGTTAAAAGTCTGACCTCTCTTAGGGGTTCATATTTTTCTCATGTTATTTCCATGGCTGGTTAGAAATGTATGGCTTCTTTGCAACAATTGTGTATGAATACCTTAATTACACATTTTGATTTATCGATTCAGGAAAATTGAAGTTACCCCCTTAAATTGTGCATGAAGCCAACCCAACACTGGATGCAGTTGGGCTGAAAATTCCAAAATTTCCAATGAAAGTGGACATCTGAATCTCCTGTATAGCTTGTACCTCTAGCACAGGGGTGGGCAATTATTTTGGTCAGAGGGTCGCTTACTGAGTTTTGGCAAGCCATCGAGGGCCACATGACAGGCAGCCCAGGACAGATATATATTAATTTTCTAAATTACTTAAGGGCCCCATGGGTCAGATAGAATGGCCTGGTGGGCTGCATGCGGCTCCTGGGCCACATTTTGCCCACCCCTGCTCTACCAGTCCCTCTTGGTAAGCCATGAAAAGTGACTTGGTTCTACACAGTTGTTTTTTTCCGCGTGCTTCCACTTACCAAATCATATTAAGAGAAGTTTAAGTTACATTAATAAAATGGAAAATGGAAAATTTTCATTATACACTTTCCTAATATCAGGTTTCTATTGAAGCAATTGCTATACTCTTTATAAGGATGTTATATGAATCCCATTAGGAGGAGGAAGAGGAGGAGAACAACATGACTGTCATTGTTAATGGAGGTAACCAGTCTAAAAGACGTGGTTTATATTATGAAGGGAATTAGGGAATTTCTGCTTTGTTTAAGAACATTATAGGCAAGTTGCTTAAAATAACCAAGAAGATTTAACTGCTTGCCCTCCCCTGCCCCCTTTTAAAAAAAAATTCTTCTCCTTCTCCCCCTTTTTAGTTGTTCTACACTTATTTCAATCATCTGTGTAGAAATCCAGTGGTGCAAAACAGACAAGAGGAGATAGCAGACAGGAAATTAAACAGGAGCTTGCAGTGCAATAAGCCAGCGTGATTTCGGACTGCTGAAGGGTCACATCGAGTCCTTCAATACACGATTCTCATGAGCCCATGCCTGGAGTACTGTCTTCAATTTTGGGACCTCCAAAACCAGGTAGATGTAAACAATTCAGAAAAAAACTCACATATCAAAATCAAAATTAATAAGTATGGCTTGAATGGATGGGGCACTGAATTGGTAATCAGGGCATCTGGGTTCTATTCTTGATTATGTTACCAGTCTATTATGTAACTAATGTCAAGTCACATTACCTCTCATCAGTGTCCCTCTGCCTCTCAGTTTCCCCATCTGCAAAACAGGGCTAGTGATATTTTCCCACTGTAAGATCTACACAATCATTGGCTACACATTGGCTATAAGAAAAGACTGAGGGCAAAAATCCTGCTTATGACCACATATAATAATAATAGGTTAAATTAGTAATACTGCATCAGTCATGTTAGAGGAAAAATTTGAATCCAAAGTGAAAAGAGTAGAATAACAAGCGAAAGAGAAATGCAATCTGTTTTTATTTGGGTCATCCTCCTAAAAAGATTATCAGTATGGTTCCCACTGAGCAACTACACTAAAATTCAGTTGCATGAAACAGAATAATGCGTATTTTTGCTAAAACAAATGATAGGCAGATTCAGAATGCAAGAAACAGAGTGCAACCAATCTATCATTTTGCTGGTTTCTCCATATCACAATAGATTAGTGACCTTGAGGAACAGTTTCTTTCTACTCCCTTACAATTTCCTGATAATTCACTGCATCACATTATTGAAAACTGCATTTGTTTTTTGGTTCTCTTTATAACAACAAACTTACTTTCACCATCTGCATATCCATTTTGTATACCAGCTCAACATGGCCTGCGTTCTTCCATTGTTTATGCTGCTGCTTGTATAGCTTTTTTCTTCTTTGTGGCTGCAACTTTTTCACGAGTGCCTTGACCTAAATTGCTAAAACATGAATTCTTGGAACAGAAAGAAGGTGCTGTAAATCACCACCAATTCAGAAGTTCATTTTTAATGGGTTTCGTTTTATTTCCTTCAACTGAATATTATTTACAGACAGAAATTAATAAAACACATCACAAAACAATAAAATTTCAACAGTTAATATTTATAGGTGCATAGGTCATGCTCAATTACTTTTATATATATATATATATATTATATATTAACAACTCTCACAATAAGTCATCTCTGCACAGAAATAATTATCATAGGAAACATAAAAAAAACTTTTATCAAACAATACCATGTTACTGACAACCTGTCAACAAAACATGTACAGCTTTAGAAATAAGCAGTAGACACTTAGGTGATTTTTATTTTTATTTTAGCTTTTTAAACTTGAAGCCACAATATCCACAGCACAACAATGGGCCTGCCACCCATGGATTAGTTTCAGCAGGAGGGAATCACTGAAACAAGAGCTGGACGCAGTCATAGATACTCCAATCATTGCTGATGGAAGACTTCAAAATACACTGTAAAAACTGTAAAAAAAAGTTAACCACTGGGCACATTGGAACTCAGCACTTGTACAGGATGGGACATCTTTGTTAGCAGATTTCAGAAGATAGAAAGAGGGGAGAGATTCTCATGCTTCAGGTTCATAGTCTTGATACTCTTCCTATTGAGAAGGGCAAAAGTCAGCATTGGCAACATTTATGAAATGCCACATTTTAGACCTGATTCTATTCCCAATGCAGCCAATAGAGAAAGAGGTGCTATTATTTTTAATAGGAACAGGATCTGAGCATTTATCTTTATTTGGTTGGCATTATTTTATCATGTCTTTCAAATATTTAGTTTATAATCAAAGGTATTTATAGACTAACTAGATGACTCCTAACTGAACATGCCATTCAACTATGGTATCAGCTGCAAAATGACTTTTAATAATGCATCTGTGAATAGTACCCTTAAGAAATAAGGAATGAAGAGGGGGAAAAATCACGTTCCTACATATAACATGTACTAAGTATTCCTCATGAGGGAAAAGCATTTCAAAGATAAGAAATGAGCCTCAATCAGTGATCCAGGAAAGTACTCAAAACTCTCAACTCATGAATAGTCCTACTGGAATCACTGGGACTACTTATGTCCTTAAAGTTAAAGAGATGAGCACAGATCATGTCCCAAGACTGCCATAAAATAATGTAGTATAAAAATCTTCTTGCCTGAAATGTTGAATTCAAATGGCATGTTGGCAGGCTCTAGACTTCACTAGATTTCCATACTGAGCAGAGAGTAAACTTATATGGAATTTTTGTATGAGAACAGATACAACTTGATCCAATGCATGGTGAACTAGGTGGGGATTCTTCCACTGACTTCAGTGGAAACTAGATCAAGCTCTTAATGGCAACTGGTAAGTCTGTGGACTTAAATTCTGGTTATACAAAGAGGCTCAGATGCCATAATTGGTTATGAATTCTACTTTACACTGGTGCTGCAGCTGCTCATCTAGTCCAGTAAATCACTTATCACTAATTATAAAAATAAAAGTAATCCCTTAATTTTAATGGCATAATTTTAAATTTCTGAGTAATATATGACTCGAAGTACTTTCCTGGATCAACACTTTAGACAACTCATGTCCCTCACAATCAGACCCAATTTTCTACAGCTTGACAAAATAACCACTCTGATTACCCTTAGCAATGTGTTCCATGAATTGTAGTAACATACTGTAACAAGCTCAAAGTAATGCAAGGTTAGCCAAAGGAAAGTGATAAAAATTATACCTTCACAATATATTTGCCACAGGGAATAATAATGATTTGCAAGTCTTATAAAATGTGGCTTAAATGTTTGGAAGCTAAAGAATATACTTTGAGCATACATTTCTTTTACTGAAATCAAACAAAGATATATTTTTCCCCATCTCTCTTCACAAACACAAGAAAACGTTCTGAATTTATTACGGATTGTTCTAGAGTGATGAAAGCAAGAATATTTTCAAGCTGTGTCAAATGATTCTCTTAAAGATTATTCCTGTAAGGAAGCCATTAAGAACAGTAATGGACTTCCCCTCCCTCACCAGCTGGGTTGCAGATGGGTCTGCTTTAAGAGAGGCTGTGCAGGGAAAACAAAGTAGTAATGGAAGTCGTCTTGGGAACAATACCGCTTATAGCCAATTCTTGGATAAGCAGATACAAACACGGAAGAACCAAGGCAGAGTTCAGCTATATTAAAATGGTAGCTGGACTATTAGACAGTACAATCTTGCCTCCTTCATTCAAATGGACCTAATTAAAGACACATGAATGACTTTCTTTTTGCTTTGCTGGAAGTTCTAAAAATGTGACAAATATCATTTGAGATCAAACAAAATACTATGTTTTAAATATGAGCATTTAACAAGTGCAAAGGAAATTTGGAACTGAAGGACACATTAATTATAGGATTTAGGTGCTGTTCACAAACTGAAGAGGAGATTGCACATAGCCCATCCTTCTAAACACTGATTAAAGAAATATCTTGAGATGTGGAAGATTCACTTTCAAGTCTCTATTCTGCCTGACTGAGGCAGAAATGCAAATTGTAGCCTCCCACCTCCTAGCAGAATACCCTAGTCACTGGACTACTCTCAATTCTGGGTCAGATCTCATTGGGTGGCTGGATACATGCTGGGAGGGCGGGGGGAAGTGCTCCTAAGAACCTCTCTAATTAAGGCATGAAATGTTTTAGATGTAGTGGAACAGATCCAGTAGAAATGGAACAGATCCAATGGAAACGAAATGTTTTAGACATAGTGGAACAGATCCAGTAGGGCATAATGGGCACTTTTACATGTCCTCTGACACATTCTGATTGGAACACAATTGAGTTTGCTTGAGAGCTCTAATCAGAACACTCTAAATCAGAACATTTTAGACATAGTGGAACAGAACCAGTGGAAATGCTGCTGTGTCTTGTTTATTCAGTGTCCCCATGTTTCAAAATGGTGGCAGGGGTGCTTTAAGTAAAGCTTCTTGAACAAGCTTTAGTTAAAGTGCCCCTGCCACCATTTTGAAATGCAGGGTGCTGAATACACAAGATGCTGCGGGTGTTTTAATTAGAGCGGCTCCTAAGAAACATGGGGATGCTAAATACACGAGACGCCGCAGCACGTTGGGGCGTTCTGATTAGAGCTCTCCCGCAGACTCGACTGAGTATGCTCTGGTGCGTTCTAATCCAAACACATCAGAAAACGTGTAAAAGGGCCTGTTATGTCCTACTGGATCTAGAGGCCAGTCTAAAACATGTCATTTCCACTGGGCCTGAGGCTTTCGCCTGGGAGGTAGGGCAGCCAGTCCAGTCTTTGTTTCAATACAAATTTTGCTGTCGTCATTTATAGAAATTCCTGCTTCCAGCCAAAGACAGCTGGTTCCTGAAAAAACAGTGGTGTAACATTTAACTCAATAACAGGCAATGTTGCACAAAGCATCAATAATTCTTTAGAACTTATGAATTACATAAGAGGACACTTAACATATTAAATTTTATAACCAAGCATGATGCTACTGCAGACCTCTACTCCTTGGGCTCAATCATGCCATTTTGACATGGGAAGGAGTAATGGGGAACCCCAGGAGATGTTCTGCCTCATAAAAATGTTGTTCAGAAATGCTTTGTGCCTTCTACCATGCTGCAGTTTGCTAACCCCCTGCATAGCTGACTCCACACCTTTAGGCATATAGAAGATTGGAGTCAGGGACTTGCCTCCTCTCTGAGATGTTCTGAGCATCATGCACCCCTGAAGGCAAGAGATTCGCTCTGTGAGTGCCTGGTATGAGCTAGTTATTCTGCTGGAACTGGATCACGCTGACAGAGTCCCTGCACTGAACTCTCTGCTGCCATCTGCTATATGCGTTCACTGAGCACAACAAAAAATTTACCTCAGGAGGCATTTCATAAGCCTCATTTTCAGTGTCCACCGGCATGTCTGTATTATCCATCACTCCTTCCTGTGGGATGCCTTCTTCATTCTGATGTTTCAAATGAGAAGAAAAACAAGAAAAAAAGAACAGCTTGTCATTGGTTTCTTCATGAAATATTTCTATTGGTTTTGTTTTTCCCATTAAATATGAAAATGATTGTCCCAAGAAGCTGATTATGAAGGCAAACAGACATTTCACTTTCTATGCTGCTGGCAAATCTGGGTCAAAACCCAGGGAACTCCCACAACAGCAAGTCTCATATTCAGCAAGAAGAGGAGTCAGTGGAACAGCATCCCTTTACATGCTAACCTGAAGAACTCCCTTTAGGACTTCCATGTGGTTCAGCCTGGGTGAGTATTTTGATTGGGAAGATATGACCATGTAATGCTGGTGACTCCAGGTGCCCCACTAAGTGCTGCCCTTATCATTAATGTCTAGAAAGTCATGTTCTGGGGCAATCCATCCAGCTTTAGTAAGTAGGTATAGAATAGACTAGGTGCCAGTTGCAACAGTCTATAAGGGAGCTGTGATCGAATGTAGAAGTGGCACACAGATGCCCATAGCAGATATCCGACAAGCTGTTCCGTTTCCTTGTGCTGTTAGAGAATTGGAACTCTATTCACTTCTTTCCATGCATGGGCCAAGACTTGTCTTTAACTCAAGAGAATGGCAGTAATGTCAGCTTGCAGAGCCTCTGGCAACCCCTGGGGATTGATTTTGTCAAAAGACAGCCAATACAACACAACACACTAGTGATACTACAACAAAATAGGCTAATTTTGAAGATCATATTCTGCCATCACCCAGCCCAGCAAACACACACAAATATATAAGTATGTTTTATTCAGGTGATTTTTCCCACTGACTTCAATGTAGCTACCTGTGAGAGCAACGTTACTCATCCACAAACAAATCTAAAGTATCAGGCTACTGAAACAAGTATGATTTTGAGTTATATAAAAGATTAATATTAATCTCAAAAAGTTTTTTTTATAGACTGATCAGCCATTTTCACTGATATCAGCATCAGTTTCTAGCAGCTATAGCCTTTTCAGAGTACGTGCTTCAATCCTACTGGCCAGAAGAAAGTTATACCATATTCTTACATATATAACACACACACCTACCTGTCCCCCCAACAAAAAAGCAACTATTGAAAACTGGAGTGCACATTATCTGTGAGAAATACTCTAAGGGCAGTTTCTGCTGCTTGCTGGGCAAAAGTGAGAGCAAAGTCCATGATCCACAGGATCCACAGCAATGAGGGGTTCAGGTCTCTAGCCTGCTACTATTCAGTTACTTACTACAAGGAAATATTTTCTCTTCTTCATTCTACCTTTCAAACTAAGGTGTGTATCTTATTCCAGGACATGCTATATGCAAGAAAATATGGGATATATAGACCCTGGATTTTTCATAAGGTTAGGTTCCTGAGAAGATAAAGGTTTGTAACCTAGCCCACTGTATACAGAGCTGCAGCAAAAAACTATGTGGGATTACTGAAGTGCTCCAGCAGTTTGCTGCGGTTTTTATTTCAAAGGATGCCATAACTTCAATCAGTTGTGTGGGGCCATTGATGAGCTCCAGCTGAGTAAAGAGACACATTTTGAAGTAAAAGCTGCAGCTAACAATTGAGCAGTTCATTCTTAATTTGGCAACCCACTGTGAATTAAGTGGGTTGCAAACCATCAGGGTACAAATGATGCAGGTACTACTGTATAAGAGCATAAAACACTGTGGGCTCCCCCACCACATACACATTTCAGGACGTGGAATTAAGGACACTGAGCAAAGGTCATGGGCCAGATTCTAACATCCTTGTGTTAGATAAAATGTTCTCCCATGGGTAATGCCATTATAATTAATAGGATTCCTGCAACAGTAAATGTAACTCATGGAGAAAGGTTATTGAAATCTAGTCCTAAAATTAAACATTTTCTATCTAGAACAAATTTAAAAGACAATGCATATATGGCACTTATTTAGGCAAAACTCCAACTGAAGACAAGTTAAAATTTGTCCTAAGAAGGAGGTATTCCAAAACTGAAAGGCTTGTATGAAAAGCCATATCTTAGCGGATATAAATCAGCTCCACTAAAAAAAACAAAACAAACAAACAAACAAAAAACCACAATGAAGCTATAATGGTTTACACAAGCTGATCATCTAAATAGAAATAGGTGTAAATTAGAATATACAGGATTTAGTTGAAATTCAATTAAAATATTGTTAATCAACAATTTATGGATTTAATATGGATATTAGTGAAAAAAGAAAGTCCAAGGATAATTACTCAGAGCCCAAGGTAGTCATTCTAAAGGAAACACAAGCTGTAGATAAAACATAAAGCAACAATTTTAAAAAACAAAATACCCCTCTCTCTAGGCTGACATGGACTAAAGATGAACAGTCCCAAAATGCAGTTCCTATTAAAATTTTAACTCCAATTTAGATTAAAGGCCATGAGGCTGATTCCCACTACTGACACAAGATATTTCCACTCCGTGGCATGGATTTGAAAAAGTCCACCCTCCTCACACTCACACAACTGTTTGGGTCAGATGCATAGAAAGGAATTAAATAAGGAACAATATTTTAATCTTTGTTGTGATGCACAGTTCTAAGGGATGCTTTCTCTGTATTGCTTGTATTCCATTGTGCAAGGCATGCAAGGGGAAAGGGCAGCTCCATCTCTAAAGTTTATATTAATATTCAGTTTTGAGATCTCTCACACCATCATTTCTATACCTTCATTTTTAATTTACAGATCTGTTCTCCTCCATTCCACTTTCCTATCACTATGTATTTCTCTTCATTCTCAGTTTTATTCCTGTATTCAGATATTCCCACTCGCTTTACCCACTCTATCTCTGCTGTCCTACCCAACTTACTCTACCCTCTACCTGGGGTCACCTAGCTATTTTCTGGACTTCCTGCTCCTCTGTTTTTAATCCCCATGCAAACTGACCTGTCCAAACTGCCTGTTTCCTTCAAACGCTTCCCTCTCTTGGTTCTCAAATTCTCAAGTGTTCTTCTTTCTTTCACCCCAACACACCCTTTCATTCTTCTCACCTGAACCTCTATCGCTCAGCAAGGGTTCCATAGTGTAAATCCTTCCTGTGTCCTCATTTTGCTGTCACTCTGCTACTACCTTCCTGTACATGTATTTTGTCACAGCCAACTGCAGAGTGCCACTCAGGTCTCCCGGATCCCTATTCTCTCATCTTAGGTTGTATATTCAATTAGAGAAGTCTCCTATGACAAGAGTCCATGGATTCAGCATACAGGAACAATTGCAGGATGGCCAGTGCCCCCATTATTATTCCTCCCATGTTTGAGATTTATTCTCCTGTTACTGTGAGGCCACATCCACCAAGTTTGCAGAAGGGACAAAATAAATCCAAAAATGGTATATTCTTCCTCAAACCAAAAAAATCCTGAATGAAGATGCCTGTTCTCTTTGAGTGATGTGATCAACTCAATGTTTTCTACCAACTGCTTGAACGAGATCTTTACACAAGATTCTTTACTGCATAGTAAAGCATCACTGTCTACATGTGTACACCATTAACTTCACAGTACATTAGTCTACTGCACAATTAGCTACTACCTGTAAAAACCTTCCAGGAGCTGGAAGCTGAGCATCACCAGGACAGGAGAGCTCTCTACCCCACCCCATCCTGGCATGGCTTGGCTCCCAGCTTGCTACAGGAACTGGGAGCTGAGTACTACCAAGATGGGGAGCTCTCTGCTTTCCTGCCCAGCCAGGGGTTGACTGGGAGTTTCCCCAGAAGTGCGACAGCTCCTGGTCAGCCTCCAGTTGCACAGGGAAACTCCACTGGGCACAGGGCTTGTCTGTATGTGCACGGGGCTGAGAGAACTCTGCAGTGGCAGCTGTCGTCTGGCCCCATGCACATCAGGACCCATCCTTATGTACACAAGGCCAGGAGACAGCTGCCACTGTAGCCAACAGAGCTCTCCTGTCCCTGTGTACATCAGGATCAGCTCCTGTGCTCCCTGCCAGCCCCTAGGCTAGCACCCTGAAGGAGCCTGAAGCTCCCTCTGGCTACTGCAGGAGGCCAGAACAGGGTAGGAGCAGCCATGTGCTCCCATTGGGAGCATATTTTCTCCCAGGGAAGGCTTACTGTGCAGTATTTTACTGAGCAGTAAGCCTTTGTAGTATTAATAGCACATGTAGAAGTGCCCGCAGTACAGTACTGCTATCTGGATTAAAGGAGTTTGGCAGGTTGGCTAGTAATAAAGAGGCAGGTTTATAGCTCAACCTTTTATTGTTTACACTCCAAAGCACTTCTCCAAGTGTCTATCTGGTTACCTGCCACAGTGCTATTAAAACTCGTGAGAGATTTTAATCATGCCACAAATGTAACATGTTAATTACACAATAAATGGCAATATGACATGTATTTGGCACATTTTTGGTGCCATAAAATGGCAAAATAGTTACATAGATGCTCCACAAATAATGTAGGATATCTTTGTGTGGCTGGTTCACACAGTGCTTTAAATTGAACTTGTGACATGCCCCCTCTCAATGCTAACAATCAGCTGATGGTCTCCAACTGGATGGGGACTGCTTCCCTCCTGATACCGACAATCAGGGCCTGTGCTGTGGTTAAGTGCTGGGCAGGGGAGCAGACTGATCCCTTCCATGTGACAAGCTGAAGATTGTGCAGCAGCCCTGCACGCAAGGATACCACTATCTAGTTCTGCAACTGCTGTGGTGGGAGGGGAAGGAAGGGCAATTGGCTCCCCCCACACTTGGCAAGTGCAGAGCCATGTGCCCAAAGCCCTGCACGCAAAGGCTTTAAACATGCTGGTGCATGCAGAGCACAGAATCATGATACTGAGCTCTGTCTGTGCTGTCAAATAGAAAGGGACATGCATAGGGATCTGAATCCATACATATGAATGTTGGGATCAGATCCCATCATGCCATTACAGCAACATCTGCCAGGGCTATATTCTTACCCATTCTTCATAGCTTCATAGTTGGTAGGGTCGGAATGGACCTGAGCAGATCATCAAGT